CCTAAAGAAATTATTATTAAGTTTACGTGCAGAAACGTTCTGACATACTTGCAAATTTTTCATGATGTCAGTTGACAGAAGGTTTCAGAATAAGTGAACAGTGCTCAGAAATTACGCACATGGAGTTTTTCTACAGGGAGTTTAAGTTCAAACAAATTAAGTGTATGCATACATTGGTAAAGGTGTTACGTAATAAAGACAAGAGTTTGCGTACGATGATGAGTGACTAATAAATTAGTTAAGAATGTACTGAGTTCAGCTTAGATCATGGTGTAATTTTGCATGTTTCTTGTTACCTAATTTATTAATCACTCATCATCGTACACAAACTGTCGTCTTTATTACGTAACACCTTTACCATTGTATCCATACACTTATTTTTGTTTGAACTTAAACTCCCTGTAGAAAAGCTACATAAGCGTAATTTTCTGAGCACTGTTCACTAATTCTGGAACCTCGTGTCAACTGACATCATGTAAAATTTGCAAGTATTCTGCCCAAAACACTGTTGTTCTTGCTTTATTCAAATTCATAAAGGGGAATAAATTTATGTTACATTTCATGAATGTAATCTTATCCCACACTATTGTATGTTTGTGTGTAATTGACTGTAATGCTATAGCTGATCTGTTCAATAGATTTCTTATCTTAATAAGGTCAACTAATCTATATTTTGTCTAAGTCGGTGGCACAGAGGTAGTATGCTTGCCATCACACTGGTGGTTAGGGGTTCAGACCCCGGCAACAGACGCACTCCTTTACCTCGCTAAGCCAGTGATAAGACTGTTAAAAGAGAGAAGGTTGGACATGAGGCTAGCAACCTCATCCCTTATAAGTAACTACCACTGCTACTGAAACAAATCTAGATTTTGCTAGGTTTTGTGCTTCGCTAGTCTGATTGACCCCACTGTACTACTTTGACTTATGTACTTGGCCTGACAGTCATTTCAAGGTATTAGATAAGTTAAATTATTTTGTCTAATGGCCTCAATAGGATCCTTTAACTGACAATGCAGGAATAAAATTGGCATTCAAACTCAAAACACTTACTACTTAGAAACAAACAATTATCCGCTGATGAGCTGGTTAAATGGAGAAAGGGTCGTGGGTAAGGGCAGCAAATCCAACCCATAGAAAAGTACCACTGCTACCGAACCTTCAAAGCTACATACTGAAGAATTTAATGCAATTATTAAACTCAAAATAAATGTATAAGTCTTCTTTGCTGCGGTTTTGTTGTGTTCGATGACTTGTATACGGTTTGATTGCGAAGCTTTTATTGGTCGCCTTCTCGAAGCCATCATCAGTGCTTATTCTTCGGGAATGGAATATTTTCCTCCACTAGTGACATTCTCTTTGATTGCTGGTTCCCTTTAAGATTCTCACATGATTCGTTTCACTCGCCTTTGAAATCTAACCCTCAAAATGATACGACATTTGACTTTTCGTTTGTATGGCCCATTTTTTATTAACTGACAATCTACATATCAATCTGTATTCCACATTTCTGTATTCAGGTTCCTGGTTCTGTAATGACCATATACCCGTAGTCTAATTTCATTAGACACTGAACCAAATAGTAGGAATTGTCCGTAGGAAGAAACTTTCATTTTCCTTCACGTTCCCCAGTGGAACACAGGGCTTCAAGCTTGTGGCTTGAAATTTCTGCAGCAGTATTTATTTTCACAGGATAGGGTTGCTAGCCTCATGCCCAATCTTCCCTCTTCACCAGCATTATTTCTGGCTTAGCGAGGTAAAGGAGTGCGTCGGCCAGGGTTAGAACCCCGGACAGTGTGCACGGTCGGCGAACGTCCTAACCGCTATACCACCGACGCACGTAGGAAGAAACTAACTAAATAATATTCACCATATTAGTAAAAAGCATGATCCAACAGTTTGCAATAGCCAATCTATCGTTCATTCTTTTGTTTTGCAAGTGGGGCATAGAGATTTAAGTTTAAGCTTCGAATTTCCTTTGGCTGTGGCATTGTTGTTTTTATAGCGTGAGATAGCTAGCCTCACACACAATTCTCCCTCTGTATCGAGTTAACGACTGGCTAGGCGGGGCTGAGAAGTGCTTCTGTGTAAAGTATAACCGAGATCACTTGTGCAGTCGGCGAAGATTCTCCTACAAAATTCTTTTATAAAAAAAACAAAAAAAACAAGAAATTTTCGATAATTTCTTCTTCTGGCTCTACAATTATATACGTAGATGTTTATATACATAGAATATTCTAGAGTAGTAGTCAGTAACAATATTAGTGTCCTTTAAATACTATCGATTCGTAAAGTAAGATCACAATGGAATTACAGTTCATTAAAGATGTTTAAATTATAATAATATTATTAAGATATAATAGCAACTAGAATATCAACTCAAATTAGAAAAATTCCACAAAAATTGAGGATCATTCAAACCTAGATGGCCAAGGTAAGGATAATGTCAGAACAAGCTTCTTTTGGACGCACAAATTAAGCTTCTTGATGTGGATCCCAACAGCCTTAGCAATAAATTCAGTAATTGAAGTCTTAAGGCGAAGTTAAGATTTGTTGGTATGCTTTAAATGACTCTGAAAGCCGCCTCGTTGACATCAATCTTGTGTTCTGTATCCACAAGGTGAGATATAATAGCGCTACGAATAGATTTTGTTTGCCATTTAGTTAACCACTTTGCACGGTGATGTTAGGAAATCCGACGAGAAAGACGCCTAATTGTGCGGCCTATGTAACTGGCACGCTCCACAGAAACAGTTAAATTGGTAGATAAAGATTTTCACGTTTTCATTAAACAGCGATGAAACTGGAGAGTAATTTTTACCAAGTTTAATTCATTGTTAGATAAATTTAGTTCATACAACAGACTTTGATACAGAATATAATTAACTGAATGGCTTTTCCACGACAATTTATTGCTCATAATCATATGTATGTATCTACAAAACTACCTAACCCGACTCAGATTGTGTTAATCCCTCCGATTTGTATATGCATCCTACTTAAGAATCGCTTCATTCCAATGGCACGTGTTTGATGTTGATTTGATGAACAGAGGTTCCGTGATTAACCTCTCTATCCGCATAACTGCATAATTTTTGATTCTCTCACTCCATTCCATCCTATTGTAAGGTCACATGTGATAGAATTCATTGTCGTCACACGGATTTTTCTAGATTATTTAACTAAGGCGCATCAATCATACCAACTCTAGCCAAATCGGAGCAAATAGTACAGAGTGAAAATACATGAAGCAAGTTGTGAGGTCCATATAAATAAATTGATATGAGAACTGCTGCTCCTTTGTACGAAGAAAGTGGATTCTCATTGTATCAAGTGAACGGCTACTTCCGGGTCCCTTTTTCCTTCCCTCTCCTGTATTTATGCAAAATTTAGACATTGGTCTACTCGTTGAATTGAAGACATTTGAACGACACTTTAATCTTGTATATGATTGAAATCAAAACCGAATTTCTTTCTAAAACGTTCAGTGTGGCTCAGCCAAGAGCTGAATTCATATATGAGACACAGAAGGACAGTACGTCACCTTTGCTTGAAATCCTTTTAAAATCCCAGTTATAATAGAGAAGATTTGTAGATCAGGTGGATGATTTCGATGTAGCTGTGTTCTCTGAACTTAATGGTTTATTTGCGAGGCTTTCATTACCCTACCAGAACACAACTGTATTAAAGTGGCAGTATTAATTGGGTCATTTCCCAAAGAAATCATGTGTTGGCCGATGCACCCTTTTCATATCGCCTGATATTTTTCCAGCAAAATCTGTCGTTTCAAACCAGTCGTATCCGTCGATATTTCGTGCTCATCATCTATAACATGAGCTGTATAAAATACATTGAATTCTAAGTTTCATCAAGAACTGACGTAGGCTACAGGACCATTAGAAAACCTGGGAGTACTAGACAGCTGTATCGTCCTAGTTTGAAACTCTTCAGCAGCACGCCACCACCACCACAGTTAGAACCTAGGATATTGCGATTACAAGGCGATCTCGTAGACCACTAAACCACTGAGACCCATACCAATAGCAAGCCCAAGATTTCCAACTTCTGCCAATTCAAAATATGACGTGACCAACACTGAATGTCATCAGAGAGTATTTGTCATCAACCCAACCTGTTGTGACTCACTGGTCACATCTCACCACTAGAATCCACGTATGAGGACAAAAACCCGTCGATGACATTCGCTGTTGTTTACTCCATATCGTGAACGGGCAGAAGATAGAAATCATGGGTTGGTGATTAAATCAGGTCCCTGTGGCTCCATGGTCTACGAGCTCGCCTTGTAACCAGAAGGATTCAAACCCTGACGGTGGGTGAGTACTCCTGAAAAGTCCAAAGCTAGGCTGACGAAACAGCTGTCTGGTACTCCCAGGTTTTCCAATGGTCTTCCAACCAATGTCAATTCACGACAAAATCCTGAAATCAGTCAAATCCCTGCAAACCAACAGCTTAATATTGAATTCTCTTGAACAAGCACTTTTAACTCAACCTCGAATATATACATTTTGTGATGGATGGATAGCATTTGTGAAAATTTAAATACTTCCCTGTCCAAGCAATCTAATACTGTAACTCCAATAAGATAGAGAACTTTTACAATTAACACGACTGATGTACTTTTTTAGGATTATCAGAAAGTCAATGCTATTACAAATTATGTAGATTCAACTGTCAATCACACGTGACTGGCAATATAGTCACGAAGACAGAGAATATTCGTTTGAATGAAATTCACAAATAATAATAATAATAATAGTAAATAGAGACATAATTAAAACAAAAGACAACTACTCACCAATAATTAATAACCAATTAAAACATCTTTCTCTTCTCAAAAAAAATAATTAAAAAGTACTCTGTACTTTAACATAAAACCAAATAAATACTAAAAAATTCAGGAAAAATAGTTTTATTAAGAGACAATTGTTATTAGATTATTCGGTTGGCGATTAATACTTATTGAAGGTTGATCAACCAGTGAAATGCAAGTTGAGTAAGTAATATTGACACAGTTTCTTCTGTTAATCTTCTCATCAATGGAATAAGTAATCTGCATGTACACATATTTGACAGAATGCCCAACGCAGCCACTTAGTTGGTTCTGGTTGGCTCTCTCGCTGACAAGCACCCCCTCCCACTAAACCTCGTCTAGTTTACTTGCAGGTGTATTCATTGAGAAAATGGAAAAGTTGTGCCAATTGGGGAAAGGTAGGTCGGGTGTAAGGGCGAATACTCGCCGCTGATGACACTGGATAGTGCCAGTCGTGCTAGATATAGTGAACTGTCCGAAGTTGAAAACCATGGGCTGGCCACTGAATCGGTTGCCAGTGGGTGAATGGTCTACGAGCTCACCTTGCACCCTGAAGGTCCTGGGTTCGAACCCTCGTGGTGAGGGCGTAATGCTGAATAATCCCAGACTAGGACGAAACAGCTGGCTGTACACCACTCCTATGTTTTCCAGTGGTTCTGTAACCGATGTCAACGCATGATGAAGTCCTATGGAGAAAATAGAAGGTTAAGCATGTGATTCTACAGCTGTTTATTTGGTATACCATACAGTGAAACAATAAAATGAGTTTTTGAACACGATTTATTGTTCACAATCATATTTATTGCAGCCACAAAACTTTTAGACTTCAGTTTCATAGTTCTCTTTATTTCTGCCGATTCGTCGTCTGGGTGGTAGAATTTCCCAGATGTCCTGGTGGACAGGTTTTGAGTTATTCCCATCTAACTTCAGTTATCAATCCTTCTTTCCATCCTCTTATTTCTTATTCCAAGACTGTTATCTTATCCCATCCAAATGTATGGTTGTTTATAATTGTATATATTGTCACAAAAAAGTGTCTTCAAAATTATTTATCGTATTCTATCGAACCTGTCAAATGGAATTTGAAGCCGCCTTTTGAAAACGTAGCCGAAGCTATGGGAACTAATTCGAGGTAACAATTCTAGTCTTTGCATAAAACAAAAGAAATTTGTTTTACTTTTGTCTCTCCAGTAACCTAGGTAAATTCTAATTAAAATAAACCTCCCACCCTTTATTATTTTCTGTTTATTCTGTACTTTTTATTACATTTGCTGAAACTCTAACTATCTGTCCACTTCACCTTGAGCATTACATAACTTTTAAGGTTTATTCATTGAATCGTCTTTATAAACGTGTTTGATCCCTTATTTATATCAGTTATCGGATCTCTGATCCACAAACTCACCATCATTAGTCAAATTATTATATATAAAACTATGTACACTAGAGTAAAGCCCAAAGAACTAATTGAAAGCAAAATTATTTGCGAAAATTGTAACGGTAAAACACAAAAGACGTTGGTAACGGACTGCTTATTTACAAGTTGGTAAACACAGAAGAATTATGTATACCTTAAAAGAAAATCGTTATTTGCTAATTCTACCCTTCATATTGCGTTTCTATGTCTTCTTTACATAATTCTCATGCTTTCACGCCACACTGATTCATTCCCTCTCTTTGACGCCAAATCCCCCTTTCCGCTATTGGATATAATCGTGTCATTGAATGTCTGTTTATATACTACTGATAAATCTTGTCAGTAGTATACACCATAATATGTCTTTTTTTAAATTCAACAATGGGAATATTTAAAGATGATCTGAACTCTATTAGATTTTCATACTTCGCTAATCGAATTCCTCCCACTCTACCTCTCCGACCTATATATTAGATCTCACGATCACTTCATGGTGTTACATAACTTAAATTACTTTGTTTAATGAACGCCACAATAACCCGAACCCTAATCGACATAACTGATTCCACTGCACAGCAAAAAATGCAGTGATATACGATAGTATCAGTAAGTAGTACTATAAATTACTATGTGTATTTGTCGAATAAATGCAGAATGATACTCTAACAGAGTGCCAGAGTTCTACTCATATATTGACCACTATTTGTTTCTGGTTTCGTCGATTTCAATGCCACAACAAACGAGGATAAAGACAGCGAACGAACTATAAAAATAAAGTTTCATTTTCGTGCAGACTTACAATTTATAGGATTGAGAATAATAGAGAATTGTATCTGACACTGTGTCACCCAGTAAGTACAACTTCTTCACTATGTGATATATCCAATAAACAAATAATTATTATGGAATTATATACTATCACAATGTTCAAGTTTTACATATGTATTAATTTGAGCTTCAGAGGGCAGAAACCCTACTTCGTAAAATAAAGCAACAACGTAGCGCTATATCGTGAATTAGCAGAAGTTAGAATTCAGGGGCCAGCCGCTGGTGCGGGTACCAGTGGCTTAATGGTCTACTTGCTAGCTCACCTTGTAACCAGAAGGTCCTGGGTTCGAACCGTGGCTGTGGGTGAGTCGTGATGAAGAGTCCCGAACTCAGCTGACGGAATAGCTGTCCAATACTCTAGGCTGGCTTCCCAATAGTTCTCTAACCGATGTCAGCTCATGATGAAGTCCTCCAACCAATCAAACAAAATCCCTACAAAACCAATACTTGTAAATATAATCTACCAACTTTATTAAAGCTAAGTTTATGAAATATTTGAACAAAGGTCTCCACAAATAATATGTTTATTTCTTTCTGGAAAGAAATCGTTTACTGGATTATCTGCTTATGTCCATAAAAGTTATCGTACTAAAGGCAACAAAGTGTTATCAAGTGCTACCGTCAAACACCTGGTTGACTTGAGACATTCAATTGAAACTAGTCCAGTTTTCAAAATAATCAATGTAGAAAAAAATATTTTGGCCTTTAAGTCTTGAGGAAGCCATTTCTATCAAAAATTTTCAAATCGAAGCTTGTATACTGAAAGATTGCAAGATTAATCTCTCATTACCCTAGGGACTGTAATTGTTTTGCTCCTGGATCTTTGTGTTTGGTTATGTTGTGTAACATTCCGATTAATTTCGCTTTCTGCTTACTGAGTTGAACTTAATATTAAGTTTCCAAACTTAGTCAACTGTTTGTCTACGTTATAATTCTACATTTACTTCTCACTCTCATCTTCTCGAAGTTTCTACTAAATTTCATTCTGTTATTCCATTTTGTGGTCTGTCTCTAGTTAATCTTTGCTTCTTTGTGTAATTTGAACTACTCCTCTAACTCTACTTGCCTGAGTATACCACGTATGGTTAGGCCATTTTTAATTTGTTTCCTTACATCCTGCTGGAATAATGTTAACCTATACTTTGTATCAGTAATGCGATATCACTGTATGTCAGTATGTTCAGCTCTTCTATAACTTATACTCTGATATTACTTAGGTTGTGTATAGTATACAAGAATCCAAGCAATAAAACTGCCTCGTATTATCCTCTGCAAACATGTTCCCTATTTTTTTTTGTTCAAACTAAATAAGGGAACTAATTGTATGTAAATTCTTTTGAACGCCTATAGGTATATACTCCTGAAGAGTTTCTAACTGAGGTAAGACATATTTCCAGTACATGCTGGCTTTCCATTAGTCACTTAACAGATTCAGCTCATGATCAAACCTGTGACCAATCAAATTCATATCAAACACCACTTTATAATTGTCTTTTATTTTATTTTTTATTTGTGGTTACAGCTTGATACCACACCATATTTTCAGTACAAGTATAGCATTTTCAGCATGGATATCGGTTAGCCCAAATTTTGCAGGCCGACCATAGATATCGGGTGTGCGTCGGCAGGGGATCGAACCTCGGACCATGTGTATGGTCGGCGAGAGTTCTAACCATTGTGCCACCGACGCACAGTGGTTCGTATCACCTGCGTAACTTTCTTAAGCATCATTCAGATATTCAGGATTTTGTCAACATTTATATTCCCCTGAGTTAACTTAAATGTTTAAATTCAATTTCATTTCATATCTGTTGATATATGTAACGTGCTCAATTTTTCTTGTTTTCAAGCATTTTTCTCCTCTCTCTTTCTCTCCAGTAATAAAGTTATATTTAAACCAACCATCAGATGTCCTCTGATGATTAATCCAGAAAAAGATGCAGAAAGAATTAACAAATCAATCAAATTAATCGGTATGTTGAACCCATTGAATATGTTTAAATCAGATGAGTAAAACTTTATGCGTTGAATTACATATAACAAGTGCAAACAAAGCAGGCATTTAGTTTATTTAGTACATCAAGTACGCACTCATCAACCTACCAAGGATATAACCTAAGACGTTCAGGTCATGAGATCAACCAGTTGACTATTTAAACCTTACGTCTAAATCCATCAAAACTATTACAGCTTGAGGCGGTTGTTCCTCAGCAGTATTGGTTAATAGTAGAACTATATTATGAATTCACAGCAGTTGAAATTTACCGGTCATTGAAACAAAACAGAAGTGGTTAAATGTTCAACAAGCCAATTGAGTGACCTGAAAGTCCTAAGTTACATCTGTTGATATTAGCTGAGGAGTTCAAACGTTATCAGTGAATCACCAGTAGGCAGCAATGAATTGCTTTCTTTGATATTAAAGGAAATAAATGATCCAAATTTCGGTTGCTTCTTCATATTACACATAGTCTCATTTCGAGTTTTTTAAGAAATTTTGATTAGCCGGAGTGTTCATTTTCTCACTAAGCAACATTAGTTTTCGGATGCTACAGAAAAGGAAGGAAAACTGGAAAGATGTCCCGTTATGTTTAGTATTATACGACACGTCAGAAATGAAGAGGGACTGGTTAGTCGTTCTACGTTTCATCAAGAAATGACAGTAGTTATAAATCATGGCTCTTTATATCCCAACATCCTGGTTAGATGGTTAACGGGTTGTTTAATCTGAAGGTTAAGGTTCTATCCTCATTGGGTATTGCTGTACACCAGTAAACTGTACTCAACTATGGCAAAACACTTATGAAATTCCCTTTGGCTTCCAATGGTTCTCCAACTATAACCTGTTTATGACTTGTGCACTGCGATATTAGATAATTCAATTATTCTCGTAACTTGCGGTGACGCTGGCAACTATTGCGTGGTAAAAGGGCAGAAGACCGGGCTGAATAAAATAAGCGAAGCACGAAAACTCAGGGAATTCCAAAATGGTAAAATCTAAAGAAATAAGGAATTTAGGGAAAAAGGCTAAGCTTTGACATTACATGCAGTTGCACAGGAACATTCAAAAGGATGGGATGAGGTTATAGACTTGAAATAACTTGATATAACCGGAGATTAGTAACTGAAGCCTTGTTTATCTAATCAAGCGAAAATATATGCAATTGAAATGATTAAACACCCGGTTTCAGACATGTAGAAAGTTCTGCTACCTTGAAGGCAAATAGGAAAAGGAACGTGAATTGTAAACATCAGGTGACGGAGTCATGTGGCTATAAATGATCTGAACAAAAAATTCTATTAAGAACGTCATCAAATAAATACAATAATGTTTCACTGTGTGATATATACAAGGAACAAATTAACATGGTATTTAATTTATTTACATTACCAAAAGATTAGAACTTATTTATGGTAAATAGACGTCTAAATATTGGGCTTTTTGAGAGCTTGGAATCAACCCAGTAAACTTGGAAATGCGCTATAAACTTCAGCAACCAACTTAACAATTTTCCACTGTGAATGGAACAATGACGTAAAAAACACTAATGTGGAATCATCAATTTCTTCAGTGCATCAGCATGAATAATAAGATAGAACTGTATAAAACACCGACACAAGCCATCGCTCAAGGCGACAGAAGTGAATATTTGTCCTTTGATGTTCATTATCGTAATGTGCTAATACTGATACCATAAAAAAGATAACCCGATGAATTTTACTTAAACATTTTGTGCTACTTATAAGTAGTGTAAAATATTTTTTCAAAATCTGACGGGCATAAGAGACATAACATACAGGTTTAAGTAAAAGACAATCTAATATCTACCAGTTTGAAGCATTTTACGCTTTCGAGTGCAACTAGTGATGACGTTGTAGTTTTGAAGATGGTTTGGCTAGTATCACTGGCTAGGCGAGGTTTAACGGTGAGTCGGCCAGCCGTAGAACCCATATCTCCCACAAGTTTAACGAACATTCTACTAGTGTACCACAGACACACAACTAAATACTTAACGGGTTAAATAACCAGGAGAATTAACCAGCAACGTTTTCAAAGCAGCTGTTTTCAAGAATTAGTTTGTAGAAATTCTATTTTTTTTAGGTCAGAGTAGAACTGAAAACCAGGACTGGAGTACTGGACAGCTTCTCTGTCCCAGTTTACGACTCAGTGGAAGTACACATCCTTTGGGTTTTTAACCCACGACCTTCCAGTTACAAGGCAAGCTCGTAAACCATTTATCCACTGAGACTCGATTCAATGGCTCAGCAGGTGCGTGCTGCCGATGAGTCCCAAACCTGAGTGAAATAGTCGTTTCCTGGGTTTCTGTGGTTCTCTAACTGATATCGATCCGCGGTCTAACCTATGTCTAAATAAAACTTCAGCATTCAATATTCATGCACTCAATAATCCCTATCCACTGATCAAGAAAATACCTTAATATGTAAGTTGCAGAACATAATTGAAGTATAAAAGTGGTCGGAATCTAATAACGACAAATAATATTGCTTCCCAGATAAAGTGAAGCGTTCGAAACACATGTTGGAAGTTTCACTCATTTGAATCAGAGCTTATCAAAGATATGCATCGCTAAACTAAGCTCAGATTTTCAAATCGGTTGACACCACAGAAACTGCAGTAAGTCACTAATTGAATCTGCTCTGAAACTCGACCACAGTTTCGGCTGTTTGAGGCGGAGCTTATCAACTATGTAGTACATTCAACTCATTTCAGCGAGCCGAATCAGTTTAAATCGTGTGAACTTCAACTCTATGTCAGCTTTTGAGTAAACTTCATTACTTGCATATATTTTAAAGAATATGTGTCACCGCGTTGCATGAGAAAGTAATGATTTCCCTTCCATTCACTATGCCTACAAACATACATATATAACAGATTTATCATTAATCTTAACATAAAGACAGAATATGAGGTCATAATTTCAATGGAATTCCATGATGGAACTATTTCATCTCATATACCACTGACTACTTTTCCAGCATAGATTATTATCACGATACAGCAACTTTGACAGAAATCAAAAATTAATTTACTATTAGGTTTCGTTTTAACTGGTAGCTGAAAGATGCACATAGTGACAGCGTAACATCAATCTCATAGGTCGGACCAATGGTTTTGTTTTTGGTGCTGACGTCTGAATAATTCCAAATAAGAAAGAATCAGCTGTAAATTTTGTATTGATCCTTGTAAGTTAATTTTCATTTCAAAGAAATCTACGTAATATGGAATGACGAAGTGGTTAAGGCAGTGGACTTATGATTCTCTGGAGTGTATCGCAGTTTAGGTTGGAATCCTTATAACAATATCACTATGTACACCAGTTATTCGACGGTAAAATTCTTACTAGTCACACAAATGGTCCGTATTCAGTCTTTGGCTGACTCATACCTTATCCAAGCCTCGTTTACTGGCTAGTAGTAAGTCCGGGAAAGAGAGTCGGTTGGGTGTATGGCTAGCAAACTTACCTCTACTCGATCCTATGATCTTGGAGCCCTATATTTCCCTCTGAGAACTCAGAGAAATGAACAAACCTACCCAGTATCTAAAAAATTGTGGTTTCGATAAATTCTTCTTCAGGCTCTACAGATATAAATCCATGAATATTAAAAGAATACAAATAGCCAATGAAGGCGTGTGAGAATTATATCGGAAACTGTAATATTGGGGTACATGTATGATATGGAATGATAGTTCGTTATTCAATATTGTCAAATGAGCGTAGATTAAAAATGTTCAGTTATTCATCACATAAGACAAACCGTGAATAGACCAAAGGGTGACATACTAATGTATTTAAAGTCAAGAGTTGGTTTGTAAGGATTAGATTTGTTTTGATGAGTTGACCACGGATTGATATCAGTTAGAGGATCATTGAAAACCAGGGAGTACTGGGCAGCCAGTTGTTTCATCCGTCATAGTTTGGGAATCATTACCAGTACGCAACCACCTCCAAGGTTCGAACCCGGGCTCTTCCGGTTACAAGTCAGCTAGCTCGTAGACCATTAAGCCACTGAGACCCAATTCAATGGCCAGTCCATGAATTCTAACTTCTGCGAATTGGTGATTTAGCACGACCACCAACCAATGTCATCTGTAGGAAATCCATCCTCAAACTTAATTGGTTGGACCACACTGGTCACGACTTCTCACTAAAACTGCAGGAATGTCCGTCCTGTAGCAATCCACAGTCGAACATCAGATTAATTTTCAAGAGTTGGTTCGTAGGGATTAAATTTGTTTTTACGATTTTGACCACGGATTGATACCAGCTAGAGAACTACTGGAAAACCAGGGAGTAGTGGACAGCCAGCTGTTTCATCCTAGTTTGTTACTAATCGTCAGCACGCACCCACTTAGCCACTGAATCCAGTCCCGGTGAATGAATGGTACATGAGTTTGCCCTGTAACCGGAAGGTCGTGGGTTCGAAACCCAATGGGTGCGTACTGTCAATGAGTCGTAAACTAGGATAAAGCAGGTGTTCAATACTCCAATCATGGTTTTCAATGGCTCTCTAACTGATATCAATCCGTGGCCAAACTCGTGAAGATGTTTACCACAAAATACATACAAACCAATACCAAAAAGTGAGAACACTGAATGTAATTTCGAGCAAGGGCTGACAGATATCAAGTTCCGTGATAATAATAATAAGTGACATAATAATAGTAAGCTTAGTGTAAATTACAAAAGGCTGACATATAATAAAGATATTAATGGAGTCAAGTGGACCAGGTGAAAAGGAATGAGAAAAGCATAATATGACATCAAAGTATGGATGATTATGCCTCTGTTGACCTTATTGTGGGCCAGGGTAAACAAAGACAATGAATGTGCTTCTTTTGCACACATAGGTCAGGTTTTTTCTTATTAATCTCTAAAGCTTCCACTATAGCTAAGAGACGTAACCGTTTGCCTTTAGGTAGATTGTTTGGCACTCGATATACAACCATTAGATG